ATATTTTTGGTTCATTTGTGCATTTCCTCCCCAAGATGTGAGTAGCAAGCACCTTGTTTCCAGTGGGAAACCAGAGACAGTGGAAGTGCTGGGAAGTTCTCACCAGCACTGTCTGTTCCTTCCAAGCATTTTGTTTCCATGGCTGTGTTACTGTCCTCCTTTTCCTCCCCATCTGTACCTCTGAACAAGGGGTTTGTTCCTTCCTCTCTCAGCACCTGCAGCTGCAAAATGGGTGTTAACAGTGACTTGTGTGTGCAATTACCATCAGATGATTCCTGAGGAGTATTGGAGGAGAATGGACTTTATCAGTGATGGATTATTGAATACATAGCAATGTAATATTTCTTCTATAAATCTCTGGAACATAAAAAGTAACTAGTGCTGGTAAACTGAGCTTTGTGTGCCTTCCTGAACTTTTCTGAGTCTGGGGGAAGCGAGTGTGATTCCCTTCACAGAACCAGAGAGCAGTTACTTGCAGAAGGGACCTTTAAAGTCCATGCTGGCATAAAGTGGGAGATGAGTTGGGGGATCTAATAATTATTTTCTGTTACATTTATGGCCTGGCTTCTTCAGAATTCTTTGTTCATTCTCCCTCTCTTCCCTCCTCCCCCCTCAAAAAACCCAAACCCAACCAAAATCCACAAATGCCCAAACCACTGAAACCACAACATAAACCCACCAACGATGCCAAAGGGAGAAGGAAGAAGGAGCTGGAGCTGCTGAGGAAGAGCCTGAGCCTGGGAAATACCAGAACCCCTTCCAGCCTCTATCTGCTGTAATCTCTGAGGTAGGAGAATGTGTGCAACTCTGGATTATTTTAGCACTGCCACTAACAAATATCTGAGAGGTCATGAGAAAAAGGGTTCATTCCAAAGAATTGGTCTCAGTCTGTCTGCACAGCATGTTGTTAATCTGTATTTAATCTTGGCAGTCTTGGTTTGTGTGCATTGAATCAATGTTTTCCTGATCAGAAACCCCCTGTTATTGATTTGGGGACAAAAGTGTTGTAGGCACAGTAAAACAGATCTAAACACGTGACTGAACATATTTCCTGATTAAACCAGTGGGGATTCAGAAGTGGAAAATATTCAAGGTCTGTTCATTTCTTGGAAAGTATTTTAGCCATGGAGAGAGTCATCAAATCTGACTGACTTCTACAACTGTTTAGATTTCTGAGCATAACCTGTTTTTGGTTGAAAACTGACACTATTGACAAGTTTCCTGGTTTTGAAACATGAAAATCCCATTCATATGTTAAAGTTTCTTTAACCTGTAGTTCTTATTTCTTGTGCCATATTTTTTTATTCAGTTGACTGGAGATAACATAATCTAAAGAAACACCTAAACTGTTCCAGTCAGTAACTCCAACATTTGCTTTTCTCTGGGACAAAAGCACCCACATGCACACAGCATGGCAAGTCAGCTGCATGCCCAATAATACACTTCAGAATTGCATCCAAAGGAAGAAGATGGAGTGTGAGGATTGCAGAGATGGTGATTTGGTGATACAGACCTTGTGAACCAGCCTGGGATTGAGTCTGTATGACACAACAGGTCTTTGTCCCAGTCCTGGTGGCATTTGAAGGAGACTTAAGCTCTGTGCAACTGTATTTTGTTTGAAATAAAACATCAAGAAAAAGTCATTGAAGAGGAAGAAATTAGAAGTTTTCTGACCTCAGGACTGTTGATGTTGTTTATATTCCAATTTTGGTTTGTTTTTTTAATATGACCAAACATAAAGCAAGAAAACAGTCAACAAACAGAAAGATCATTTCATTGGTTGTTAATTCCCCCTCCCTTCCTCTGGACAGGAGATCTGAAATTTAATGTCTTCACCTGTTTGACAAGAAACTCCATGCTATATGTGGGACAGAAAGATGCTTTCATTTTTTAATAACCCTCCTGTCTTATCAGTCAGCTTGAAAAAAATTCTTCCCCTTTTTGTTAGAATGAAAAACAAATGGAAAAGGAAAAGAAGAGGCAAAGGTTGGAGACTGAACAGGCTACAATTGTCCTGAAAGCACAAACAGAGCAGGACCAGGTGGATGCCCAGCACTTGTCAAGGAGCAGCAGCCAAAACACAACTGAGAGCAGCCTAGAAATGTGCAATTCTGCAACTGCCCAGCTTGTGCAGCACTCGGAAGAGAATGATCAGCAAGCCTCGGAATGCCTTGACTCAGGTAAAACTTCCTTGGAATGTGTCACTTCATGGGATTCTTCACATTGCTTTTCCTTTTTTTATTATTCTTTTTAATTATATTTATTATATAGTATCTATTCTATTTATTTTTGTTTATTCTTTATTATTATTTTCCATGATGCCACACATTGATTTAATCTGTTGAAAAGATGAAAATGCAGAATTAGGTTGTTGTATTGGAAAAATCTTCTTCCTAAAAGTGCATATTTTTTGGTGTGGCTGGTACTGCAGCTGAAAGTGGGTTTGTTTTCTTATCATCATCAGAGATGCAGTCCACTTTCCAACAGGACTCAACTAAGTTGAATTTCGTTATGGAAACATAGAGTTTGCAATATTTTATGCTTAAAGATTATTTTCTGTAGCAAAATGCCATCTAACTTTTACATTTCCCATCATTTTGTGCATAATTTTGGACT